AATCACTCTACGTTATCAGGGTCCCTTTAACCAGTACACAGCTTCCTTCCTTGTCTTTAATTTGTTTTTCTAAAGCAGATTTTTATTGACTTTGAAAATAATTTTGAGACTTCTCTTTTCCGTCCTCGTTTAGAAGAACTGCTGTTTATGGTCAGAAGCTCTTTGTTGATCTTCAGCAGCTGGTGTGTTTTTCTCAGCTATACTTCTGTGATGGCATCAGCCACACAGGGTAAATTTCCATTTTCACTTTATTAGTTTGCTTTGCAGTTTGCTTCATCAATCATATTATGAGGCGCACACATAGTAACATTGTGTGGTTTTTCTAAAATGTTTTGTTATATTAATTATGTTTCTCTTTCTTTGAGTTACCTGGTGTGGGCGGTGGCTGTTCCCTGTCTGGGCAGAAGGCTGAGGACTCTGTGAACAAAATGCCTGCTCAGCAGGACCAACCCTGGGCTTCCCAGGAGCTGTTTTAGGTTTAGTTGGGTTATTCTGTGCTTAGTTAATATTAGTGTGTTTTTGTTTCCCCCCTATTGTGTGTAAATGGTTTGGCCAAATCATTATAGAAGCGACCCTCATGTGTCTTTGTAATTAGGTCAGTTTGTGAGTTAAGTTGTGTCTCACTTTGTTTAAGTTTCTGGAAACTGTGGAGTTATATTTAGTCGACCTCTTTTATGGGCCTGCTAAGTCTGTTTTTGAATTGCGTTAAATTTGGACTTTTTGAGGGTTAAAATAAAGAAAACCCTTTTTGAAGACACTTTTTTGCCTGTGTCCTCTTTGCTTTGGCTGCTCTGCCTCGTTGCCCCTCGTAAGCTGTTTTACCACCAACTCTGTCAAGAGTTTTGAGCTCAGAAGAAGGCTGGAGACTGGCCTGTCATTGGCTAAGACGGCTGGGTCACGTGATGGTGTTTTCAGTACTTCTGGATGTACCAAACGTGTAAACATCAGTCAGAGCAGGAAGTCCAAACAGGACTCGCCTGCAGCTCTCACACTTTCATTTTCACTTCTCGAAAGTGACGTTGAATTTCTGGTCTTTCAGGTGTTGCTCCTGCTTTACCTGCAGCTGCTTGTCTGGTTTTGTTGGCTCTCCATTTACAGGAATCAGACGGTTTACACTCAGTGACTTTGAGGTGGGAGGAGTGACTAACAACGTGTGGGTAAAAAACCAAAAACACCAGATAACGATGGCCTCAGGTGATCAGTAGAAACTTTCCTGAGAGCTTCCTGAAAGCTCTGGAGGAGGTCGTAGATGTTTCCTCTGGTTTAAACTGAAGATGAATGAACATGAATTCTTTAAACCTCTGAGTTTTTGTCCTTCCAGCCGGTTTCATCTTTAGTTTGCTGTAATGCACAGACTTCTATGTTTGTGGGAAACCATCAGAGTACTGATGGGGTACACAACTACACCCTCTCCAACAGTCTGGGAGGGGCCCTTTATACTTTCAGCTTCACGTGATGAAGGTTTCCTTCATCCCACCAAAACATTTCTCGGACCACGATCCTGTTCCAGGAAGCAGCTGAGCTCAGGGAAAGTTAACAGGTCTCTTTTAAATCAGACAATACCTCTCAGTGGGGCTGCATGTGTAAATAAAGGTTAAAAACAAAAACAAACACTCTGAGGGGGTCACCATAAATCAGACAGCTCGTTGTTATGTATTCTCTTCCAGAGGATGCCTCCACCTGCTTCCTGCTCTCGCTGCACATCAGAGTATCGTCTGCAACCTTCATTCTGCTCCTCACTGATCCTCACAGCTGGCTAAACCACACACATCCTGTACTACAGTAGAAATGCAGATACTACTGTTAAAAACAGTAAAAGTTGAAGTACCAGCTCTAAAATGTGCTCAAAGTAAGAAAGTAGCTCTTTAAGCACAGCTGAGTCTGTGCTGAGTCTGTGCCACATTAATGTAATAATACAATAACATCAGTAGATGGATACAAGTGTTAGTCTCTTTTTTAAATTACACTGAGCTTGAATCAGAAGGGAAATAAAAACGTCTCTATTTCCTGTTGCCTCCATTGTGGAGCTTTGCCTCTGAACAGAACAATGTGCAGTCACATCACCATCAGCTGCAGCGTCTCAGTGTGGGGACAGACTCAGTCATGTCTACTGTCCAGGCTGTGATCAGCTGACCTGCTGCTCTCTGTGGGTGTACACACCTGGATCCATCCAGAGGTGAGCAGATGTTTCCTGAGTCCATCCTCCACTCTGACAGCACGCTGTTTATGCTGTTTACTATAAAGTTGGTATGAAGGTTGAATTCAGTGAAGGAGTCTTGATGAAGCTAACTGTGAGCATGAAGCCGCTGTGCAGCCGTCACACTGGTCTTTACTTTGAACCCATCACAGGGCAGCAAACTCATCCTGCAGCCTTTACATAACACCGTGAGTCTGCCTCAGTTTGTTTAGCAGCAGCTTTATGAACAAACATCATGTGACACGTACAGATTTAGAAACATGAGGATTTCCATGTGAGCTTTAAATGAGCATCCTTCTTTGAAATCTAAGCTCTCTTCTTCCTCTCCTCCTTTCTTATCTTCCTCCATCTCTGAGTGAAGCTCTCGGTCTTTTCTCTACAGTAACAAAGTGTTTGTACTTTGTGCATGATGCAAACCTGCCAGTTAAGCTCTGGACGTACTGGAGCCTCTCCAGGGCTTCGGTGTAAATCCCACTGCAGTAATCCAGGTGGAACAGTAACAAAGTATTTGTACTTAGTTACTTCCCACCTCTCCTAATCGCCTCTCTCACTTTACCCGACCTCTGCCACAAGTTTCTGGACTTCCTAGAAAAAAACCATCACACCCACCCTCACAAATCTCCGTTGGGTCCTGGTTAAGTCACGCCCCCCTTCTGTCAGTGCCCCGCCCCCAGGACCTGTGTCAGATGTTGCGGCCTCAGCCAGGTGTGCTTTCTGTCCCTCACACCAGCCGCTACACCTCTGAGGACAGAACCCCACCCTCTGGACGTCTCTCCCATACGA